TTATAAAGAAGTTAGGTCGAACGTAATCAAAAAATAGTCTATTAAATTATCTACAATGTGTAATTAAGTAACTAACAACAAATTTGTGTTTAATGATGGACTACAATTTATAATTAATCTACCCAGCACTACACACACACCTTTTGTACAATAAGCCGCCCAGCACAATAGCAAATGACCCTGTTTGGTTGGAAACAGGATAAGAGTTAGCCTTTAGTCTAGTGTTGTTTGCAGTTGTTGACATTTTAGATGCACTAACAAAGGCTGTTCCTTTCAACTGTAATTTTCTGTGTATCCCAGTGCCGTGACATCTCTATTGAGATGACAGTGGGTGAGGGAGATAAATGACCAATTGAGCTGGACTCCCTCTCTCTCTCTCTCTCTCTCTCTCTCTCTCTCTCTCTCTCTCTCTCTCTCTCTCTCTCTCTCTCTCTCTCTCTGCGTGTCTGTGCTCTACAGTGGCCAGTTAATAACTTTGCCTGTGTTTATTCTGCCCGTGCTGGCAGTCCGGGGGGTTTCCTGTTTACTAACCGAGTCGTATGTGCGTGCGTCTTGTTGAGTCTTTCAAAAACAGATTCAGGCACAGAAACGGGATGATGCAAGGTAAATAACAGCTTGCTTTCTCTGGTTGACATACTGAGCAGGGCTCAAAAAGGGCTTGCTTGAATTCATAGGGCAATTGAGAGAGTTTCGAGCCAGATGATGGAACTGTCACTTGTTTTGTATCATATAATATGACATTGTTTTCCAGCAAATGTTCATATGTTTGTGGACAGTGACTATATAATGTTGGCAGCGCAAGCAGATTTTTTTTTTTATTGTTGAGCCCTGCTGAGGAAAGATGAATGTGTGTTTTGGTGGCTCATTACACCAACAACATGAGGTGAAGCCTTTTTACAAAGAGGAGTAGATTAACATGTCAAACTCAATCCATATCTGTCAACACGGGAACAACACTTCACAGGAAATACCTGGAACTGACTCTTCCAGTATTTAGGGTTGTAGTACTGAATTGTGCTACAGTCTGAACTTATAAGCACTGCTGATAATTGGCTCTGGAGGACACAAGAGTCCATATAATATGTGTAGAAGAAAGCAAAGGTTTGGGAGGAGATGCTGCTTCTTTTCAAAACTTCTTGATGGTCACATCAAAGGCTTTGTGAGCTGAGCTCCACATGTTTGCCACAATTTTCCCTTCAGTGTCAGCACCCAGACAGCAGCTTTGTGTTAGCTCAACATAAATTCATCCAGCGAAAAAAAAAGGCTTTGTGTTTTCTTTGTCGACAGTAAGAGTGGAGTCAGGTTGACACTGTGCAAGCAAGACTGTGCTGTCTGTGAAGGAAAAGGCTGTTGTGCATAACTCAGACAGCTGTGCTGGATCAAAGCATTTCTGGGTGTTGGGTATCTTCAGCATCTGGAAGTGGGTCAGCGCTGGCTCTTGCTTTAGCTGATGACAATCTTATGCAGCAGTAGAGAGACGCTCATTCCTCGGGAACAAAGTGACCTGCAGAGGCAGTGGGGCTGTTTTTAATGGCTGTTTACGCTTTCTCTGGGAGGGAGGGTGTATTTATGTAACTTACTTTTGCATTAAATTGAATGTTAAAGACGTTTCATAAATGTTTTGAAGTCAAAGAATTTTATGTTATGCAGTACAATACAAAAAGCTTCCTCTAGTCACTCAAGCACATTCATAGAAATGAAACTGTAAAATGGCTTGTTAATGTATGACCATTCATGTTCCATATTAATGGTTAAGTATTCAGGAACTTTCCATTCTGATGAACGACAGTTTGGTCAATTGCAATTGAGACTGTTTACATGTTGAAGTCTGAAAGGTACAGTTACAAAAAGCTTGATTTAATTTGAACACCGACTGTAACAACCAGGGGAAAACAGGATTTTCAACCAGTGATATTTCTCTCCACTTTATGAATACATTTTTTTTTAAAGTTCTGTAAGATATTCATTTAATGTTTTTGAAAGAAATATTTTATGCTCACCAAGGCTGCATTTATTTGATTAAAAAACACTGTAAAACTATGATATTATAACATTTATAACATTAACATTTTTGCCTAATATCTTAAAATTGTAATTTACTCCTGTAAAGGCAAAGCTGATGTTTCAGCATTACTCCAGTCTTCAGTGTCACATGATCATTCAGAAATCATTCTAATATGCTGATTTGGTGCTCACATAACATTTCTTTTAATTATCAATGTTAGAAACAGTTGTGCTGTTTACAATTTTTTGTGGAAACTGATATATTGTTTTCATGATTCTTAATCAATAGAAACAGAAATCTTTAGTTACGAGGTAAAAATCTTTACGGTTACTTTTGATCAATTTAAGGCAGTCTTGTTGAGTACAATTAATTTATATACATATATATATAACTTACCGCTTATAGTTTTAAGGAGGAGGATGATAAAACAGTTTTCATATTGCACTGCATTCTACAGTATGACTAAATTGTTTCCAAACTTTTGACCCTGACTGTACAGTATGTTGGCCTTGTGAAGAGTAATTTTCAGTGAGTAATCACTGGGTTTTATTTTTGAACATGGAGCTGGTTTTGATTCTTACCTGTGCTGAGTCATACATTTACAGCTGATAAAGTACATAAGAAAGCTTTATGTTCCTCCTCCTGATCTCTTCCACCACCCTTTCTCATGGCTTGACCTTTGCCCTGTTTTTGTCTCCTCCAATCTCCCAGCTGATCCCTCTCCCTGTATTATGCCTGAAGCCGTTTTGAAAACTATTTTAGAAAAGTGGGTGAACAAAAGATTTAAACTCAGACTGTCACCTCTGTTTTCACTAATGCTGCATTCACACTACCAACGACTTTGTCGCAACATGTCGCCAGTGGCTAGCGGTGAGGTCGCTAGTGTGCGTTCCCACTACAGGTTGCCTAGTAACGTTCGAATGACTGACATTCGCAGATGTTACTCCATGTTGTAGACAACAAATCCGTTTTCTTGCTGCTACAGACATTTTGGAAGGGAAAGTCTAAATATAAATGGAATCAGTACATTAAATGCCTAATAATAAAGATGAATGAGAAACAGTGAGTGCTCTTTGCCATCAAGGCTATTTATCTGCAGCAAAAGATCAAATGCCAGTCACGTGCACTCCACTGACTTACCTCCTATTGGTTGTCACTCCCGAAAGTCGCTGGACACGCCCCATCCAGTTGCCAACGGTCGCTGTCGCTCGTGTCGCCGGAAATCACCGACTCTTCATTGAAATGAATGGGATCGTGTCGCTTTGTTGCTTGCTTGTAGTGTGAATGCAGCTTAACAGTAATTCTATGATCTCTATGCAAATGTGTAGTGCAATTTGTTATAGCTAAGGTTATTAATTGATCAATTCATTACTTGAAAATATATACTTCAGAATCCTAGAAATTTATTTATCTGATTATTTATAATTGTTTACTTTATCTTATTATTAATAGTACTAAAATAATGTGTTGAATTGACAGCCCTAGCTACATACACTCACCGGCCACTTTATTAGGTACCCCATGCTAGTAACGGGTTGGACCCCCTTTTGCCTTCAGAACTGCCTCAATTCTTCGTGGCATAGATTCAACAAGGTGCTGGAAGCATTCCTCAGGGAGTTTGGTCCATATTGACATGATGGCATCACACAGTTGCCGCAGATTTGTCGGCTGCACATCCATGATGCGAATCTCCCGTTCCACCACATCCCAAAGATGCTCTATTGGGTTGAGATCTGGTGACTGTGGAGGCCATTTTAGTACAGTGAACTCATTGTCATGTTCAAGAAACCAATTTGAAATGATTAGAGCTTTGTGACATGGTGGAAGTAGCCATCAGAGGATGGGTACATGGTGGCCATAAAGGGATGGACATGGTCAGAAACAATGCTCAGGTAGGCCGTGGCATTTAAACGATGCCCAATTGGCACTAAGGGGCCTAAAGTGTGCCAGGAAAACATCCCCCACACCATTACACCACCACCACCAGCCTGCACAGTGGTAACAAGGCATGATGGTTCCATGTTCTCATTCTGTTTACGCCAAATTCTGACTCTAACATCTGAATGTCTCAACAGAAATCGAGACTCATCAGACCAGGCAACATTTTTCCAGTCTTCAACTGTTCAATTTTGGTGAGCTCTTGCAAATTGTAGCCTCTTTTTCCTATTTGTAGTGGAGATGAGTGGTACCCGGTGGAGTCTTCTGCTGTTGTAGCCCATCCGCCTCAAGGTTGTGCGTGTTGTGGCTTCACAAATGCTTTGCTGCATACCTCGGTTGTAACGAGTGGTTATTTCAGTCACTGTTGCCCATCTGTCAGCTCGAACCAGTCTGGCCATTCTCCTCTGACCTCTGGCATCAACAAGGCATTTCCGCCCACAGAACTGCCGCTCACTGGATGTTTTTTCTTTTTTGGACCATTCTCTGTAAACCCTAGAGATGGTTGTGCGTGAAAATCCCAGTAGATTAGCAGTTTCTGAAATACTCAGACCAGCCCTTCTGGCACCAACAATCATGCCACGTTCAAAGTCACTCAAATCAACTTTCTTCCCCATACTGATGCTCGGTTTGAACTGCAGGAGATTGTCTTGACCATGTCTACATGCCTAAATGCACTGAGTTGCCGCCATGTGATTGGCTGCTTAGAAATTAAGTGTTAACGAGCAGTTGGACAGGTGTACCTAATAAAGTGGCCGGTGAGTGTAGATAGTATGGGCAATTCTAAACTGCACATCCTTCTTATTATAAGAAATCTAGGACAAGATGTGTTTGAGCTTGTGAATGTATAAAACAATGTTAAAGTTTATGTGAAGGGTGTAGTTTTGGTTAATCCACAAGGCAGGAAATGAGGTGCAAGGGAAGAAGGCTTTCGATGAAGTTTAGAGTGTGCATGAGGTGAATGTATGCCAGTCTCCTGCTCTACAAGTCTTGCATGCTCGTTTCTCTGATTTCCTCTTTCTGGGCTTCAAAATAAAGCATGTGTGTCTGTGATCCACAGAAACCCAGCCCGACACAGAAGAGCTGCATACACCAAATCATGTCTGCAGAGGTGATGATGCAGTCCTGCCTCATGGACCGGAGCAGCAGCTTTTTTAAGGTGAGGGGAGAGACACATCCCCGCTGTCCCCTGAGCTTTGACTTGTTTGTCTGTGTGTGCCTGCCTGTATGTTCTGGATATGAATTTGCATGTACTGTATTTTATCAGTACATGAGTTTCTCTAACTGAGCCTCCCTATATTAAAAAACTGGTTTTGCTTTTTTTGTCATTTAGAGTAGACCCAGTTTACAACTGTGGTCGGTTGCATAAACTGCTTACTGGTCTTACAAGTTTTTTCTTAAAGACTAGTCATAACATTTTAAGTATGTTACATAAAATTTAGATCGGTCTAATATGATTGTGTATTTTTTTTTTTTTTTTTTTTTTTTTTTTTTAAGAAACAGTCTTAACATAGTGGTTGTGTTTATGCAACTGGCCCCTGGTATTATAGCTATATAAAACCTCCAATTACTCATTCCAAACCTGAATGACTTTTTGGTACAAAAAACCTTTTGTCCACACCATCAAAGTTATTGGGGTCCTAAATAATGTTGTTTTGGACCCCATTGACTTTCATTGTATGGACAAAAAATATAGATTTTTCAAATATGTTTTTATGTTCCACAGACGAAAGTCATACTGTATGTGACCACATGGTCTACAAATGAACGTCATGACTGAACAGCACTATTGTTTACATCTTCCACAGTAATGTGTCAACCAGCAGTAAATGACACACTGAAAACCACCATCACTGGATAAGTTTGCTTTCTGTAAGTGTCCTACTTTAGAGCCAGACAGAGCGCAGGTTAGTCAGGGCTTCTGGAGACCACGTGGAATGCTGTCCGTTCTCTCTGCCAGCACTAAAGCTGCCGAGCTTAAGAGGTTCTCAGAGGATGATAGATCCAGCTGTTATCTCTGCAAGCTATTCTTCCAACAAACATAAAGCCTTTTTGTGTGAATGTTTATGTAATTGTTTCAGGGTGACCTTACTTATACTCCAGCATGTGTTGTGATCATTTCATGCAGGAGGAAGTTGTAGTTGCAGTTGCAAGCTTTGTTTCATGTAAACAATTAGATGCAGCCAAAGGCAAATAAATCAGGCTTTCGCTCTCACACTAATCGGCCTTGACGAATGCATGATAAGATTGTGAACGTCAGTGAACACAAATTTATATTCCTCCTTGTTTCCTTAACAGAAATCTCTCCTGTAACATCTCTTCCCTGTCATCAATTTAGATGATACTTCAGTGGAATGTGGTGAGCGGATTTACAGTACCTTCGTCATCTATTAAAGGAATAGTTCAACAACAACAACAACAAAAAGGAAATTCTGTCATTATTTACTCACCCTTATGTCGTTCCAAATGTGTACGACTTTCTTGCTTTCTTGAAGCACAGAAGGTCTTTTTTTTTAGAATGTATGCCTGCCCTTTTTTAATGAAATGTGGCATCGAATACTGTCATACGGCAAAAGACTTGAAATACAAGCTATATTGAGTACTTTTATGATGTTAGAGCACAATATCAAAATTCTGGCAGATACTGATGATAAGTCAACAATTACCTTAATGTTATGGCCAATAACCAATAAGTGTGGGGTCCACAATAAAACTTCAGATCATTAAAATTTTGTTATATTAACCATTGCTATATGATATAATTTACTTTAGTTTTTCATGGGGAAAAAATGGCCGAGATGTTCTTCAAAATTTAAACTTTTGTGTTTCATGGAATAAACATGTTGGAATGACGTGAGGGTGAGTAAAGGATCACTGAATGTTCATTTTTGAGCGAACAGTCCCTTTAATTGAATGACTCTGCTGCTGTCACTGAGTGTTTATATTCCGAACACTCCTTTCAGTGTTAGGACTGTGTTTGGCTGAAACAAGCGTGCTAGTAAAATGTCAGTACATAGTTTCCTAGAGACTTTCTTGGCTGCTTTGTATGCTATGAATGACTTTACCTCACGGCTTATTAAATAGAGGCACAGATGACTGCAGCATTTGGAAGAGCTCTTGATCTCACCAGTCTCCAGAACACCAGCCAGCACCTCACAGGCATCAGAGTTTCCTAACAAATGTCCAGCGGGCGAAATTGCACCTTTTTTTCTGCTTCATCACCTCTTTTAATGGCTCATCACTACAGCTAAAGTCATTCTCTGCTTCTGGGTGAATTTATCAACACAAGCTGAATAATTTTTACATCAGATCTCTCTCCCTCTCCCTCTCTGTCTCTCTCCATCTCAGCAGGATTGTGTCTGTTTGCTCTATTAAGTGTAAATGATAGGTGGTCCAATTGTCTTCCTTCTGGCTGACATTAGCTCAGAGGAATTTTCTGTGTTCTTGTAAATCTTTTGAAAACGTATCTCCTGTTTTTCTCTGTCATTGCTGCTCATTAGTATTGCACAATCTCATTGATATATAATTGATACATTGATATTTCGATAAATAGAAAGTTCAAAAGAACAGCCTGTATTTGAAATAACAATGTAAAAGTCTTTACTGTCGCTTTTGATCAACTTATTTCACCCTCGCGAAGTATATATTTCTTTTTAAAAAACTCTTACTAAACCCAAACATTTGAACAGTAGTGTACATGTACACACAATAATTAATATATTATTTATATATTATTTTATGATTGTTGGCTACTGTAGAATATCTTTGAAGAAAAAATCAAACCGAGTGTTACTCTGCTATTTAGGCCATGGTGACAAGTGTGTATAAACTAATGCATGCCTGTTCCTGAGTGTTTCTAAGATAATAAGCTTTGTTTTCGGCTGTATTTCTTGTCTGACTCAGATAAGGAGCCGTATCAAGCCATTGCAGTGAGCCCGTTTATTTTATGTTGGTTTGATAATTCTTGACCTTTCTAGTGTGTAGCCCATTCAGCAATAATCTACAGCAAGTAAGCGCTTTGGTATCACTGAAGTACATTTTACGTCTTTACGGAGTGCTTTTCTTGGCTGTGAGCTGGTTGGTGTGTAGTTGTGGTTTGCTGACTAAGTCTGAGATGAAGTTAGAGAAATACCTCATGACTATAAGCGGAAAATGCTGGCTCAGATAAAAAAAGAAAAGAAAACAAAAAAACACAACCGAAAGTGTGGACGGGTCTTTACTTGTCTGGTTCATGGTCGAGGGTTTACTGAAATATTGACACGTATGAGTGTTAGTGTTAATGGGAGTTTGTGCAGGCTAAAAGAAGTTCAAGAAATGAAACAAAAAAAAGGGAGAGAAAAAAAACTCCCTGCCCCCTGCTGGCCATCAAGAGTAATTAGATCTATGAAAAAATACAATGACAAAATAGCTTTTCCAAGTCACTGTGCTTCATGTCTGATCTAAGCAGTTAGGTAGAGATCACCTTGCCTTATACCACACATAATACATGTTTCTTTCAATATTGTTTATTTTATTTACAGTGACTGCTGTTCAGTGTTTCATCTTAGAATAATGAAAGGAATAATCAAAGGAAACTGCTGACTGCTGTTCAGTGCTTCATTTTAGAATAATGAAAGGAAAATTAACTGCACAGTTCTTTGATGTCTCTGTTTCTGGATTGTTCTCACTGTTAGTCGTTGAAAGGAAACGGACGCAGTTGCTGGTTTACTGGGAATCATTTCATGATGACTAATTCTAGACACAGACACTTCCCATTCATACAAAACATGCATGACACATGAGCACATATTCAGAATGTCTTCAAATTTTCTGCTCTTCATGCTCATATGGTGTGCGTGTGTGTGACTACAGCTGATTGACACATTCTCCTCGGAGATCTCAGAGCTAAAGCAGGAGATGGTTCAGCCAGCCAGAGAGCCGGAGACAGAGATCTTACAGGGGTGAGTCGCATCATTCATTACTGTCATCCTCCTCACTGGCATTAATGGGAGTTTTAGGTTACATTATATGCTGTTTTCTTTTGTATTTGTGCTCAATTGTACAGTGGGATCCAAAGGTCTGAGACCACATTGAAAAACGTGGAAATTTAAAACAGTTGAAAATAAAATGTCTCGTCTCTTGCTGAGTCTTTCTGGACTGTGTAGATTCATTGTGTTTGTTTTTGTACTTCCAATGTTCTCCACCAGGTGGAGCATGTCTTACTTTTACACCGTAGGACATGGTTTTGCAATACCACATTTCCATGAAATTAAAAGGAAGTGCATGGAACAAATACATTCAGGAGTTTCACAATCAGCTTTCAATCATTTGGAAACCAACTGAAGTGACAACCAAAACAAGCTTCTAATCTTTTTTTCTTCTTCATTTGATATTTATTGGTATTGCTATATATATATATATATATAGATATATAGATATATATATAGATATATAAATAATAATATATGCATTATTTTTACTTACTGTAGTCTATATTTTTAATCAGCTAAGTCAGCTTGAGAGACAAAGTCAGTATGACCTTTCCAAACCCACACTGACCTATCATACTGTTAAAAACAAAACTCAGATCTGCCTGCCACGTGAAAACATTTGACAACCATTGCTTCAATACAAGACCAAGTGTTGTTTTTATCATGTGATGTTGTGAAATAAAGGTTTCTCTCTATTTATAATGAAAAAAACAAAGTTGTGTTATTGTATGCACATCTTTTAGTCAACATTTAGTCTCATTAGCTTAGACTCACAGTCAGACAGTTCTAAGATATAGGTTATAAACGACCATTCAGAATTTTGTGGTTAGTAAGATTTTTTTTTTTTCAATAAATAAAATAAAATTTTGCTGTTGAAGGGATCTGCCACCTGAAAACATTTGACAACCACTGCTTCAATCAAGTGTTGTTTTTATCTTTGTTGTGGAATATAAGTTTCTCTCTCTTTTTCTCTCTCTATGTATATATATGTAGTCTGGAAGGAGAGGTGAGTGGTCTGTTCCTGCAGTCTTCTGCCTGCGCTGGTGCGCCTGGAGTGAGGGACTCTGGGTATGACTCTCTACGCAGACGCATGAGCATCCTAGACAGATTGATGCAGACACACTCTGTATGGTTGCTGCTGTCACTCAGCGATGAGGAAGCCAGACGCATTCTGCAGCCGCAGCCGGCAGGGGTAAAGACACTGTCTGCGCAGATGCAGCAGCCAACTTGCTCAACAACAATAGGTTATTTTGCAATTTATTTTTTGTTCACGTTCTTGTCCTTTCCTCTCATTTGTGTGTCTGTTTTTTACCTAGAGTTTTGTGGTGAGGAGGTGTTATAAATTGCAGAAAAAGGTGATTTCCCTGCGGATGGACAGTGACACGCTGATTGTTCGGGACTTCCCTGTTAAAGAGAGCCAATATAGTAAGTACTATACCAAAGTACTTTACATTTGCAGACCACTAATAGTGTGTGTGTATGTCACCTTTTTCACTTCCTCCTGCCTGAAGTTTTTGGTGTGTTTTTTTATTTACCTTTCCACGTCCTGTCTAATTGTTCTCTCGTCAGAGGAGCAGTTAAAGAGCATATTGCAGGTTAAAAAAAAAATCTAAATTAATATCTAACCTTGTATGAAAATACCATATGAAAAGGTAATGCAGGATTTAAAATGTTTTAAAACGACATAAGGATGCTTTAATGCTTTTTTTCAGCATCGCGTCATTTTACGTCACCAGAGGGAGGGAGCCTCAGTAGCGCAGATAGCTTTGTATTCAGTACGAGCGGGTAAATTTGCTTTTTTTATACTCAGAATGACAATTTGGAATGTAAAGAACAACATATTATACAGTTTTATTAGGAAAATACCATATACATAAAAAGAATTGGGCTTTTTTTCACGTTTTATAAATGACTTCACATTATATGTACATCTTTTGGAACAAACAAACTAAAAACAAAAAAGCAATGAAAACATGTAATGCTTTGAAAGCACAGGATTTTATGTAAAACTTTTTTTGCATTTTTTATTTCCTGGCAGCTAATGTTAATGTGATATTGTGAATATGTAAAACCTCTTGTTCTTGTGGCATCGAATTAAAAAAAAAAAGTAAGTTAGAGCGGTCGTGAATCAGTATATTCGGTAGTTTTTATATTTTAATTTATCATCGTCATCATTGTAAATTATTGTGTTTGTGGAGGTTGCAAAAACTCCGGCCTGTCAGGACATCGAGTCAGGTTTCCTAACAAGAAAAGGGACGGTGCTGTCTATCGTGCCTGTGTGCGGTTTGTGCAGCTGTAGAGACAGGATTTCTCTTCCGCATCGCCTTCCAAAAACGCAATCATGTGTAGCGTACACCAGATCTGAGGAACAAAAACGTGTATATCAGGAAAAAAAATATCTGAATGAATGAATGAAATCTTTATTTCGAACAATTAATAAAAAAAAAAAATAATAATAATAAAAAAAATAAAGACAGCAATACGTATGAAGTATCCATACAAATAAGTAAACACAAAAACAACAAAAAAATTTTTTTTTTTTTTTTTTAGCATAATAATCAACCTGTTCGAAAAGGGATAGGTAGAAGCCCTAGGCTTATCAAGACCTACCCCCAGTAACTACCCAAACCAATTCACAATCAGACAAGATAAATCTAACATAACGTTTTAAATAATACAAAAAAAATACCTGCTAAATTAAAGTAATACTTTAACTTATTGAATACTCTATCTGTCTCTCGATGAGCTAAGTTATATTACGTAATGTTAGTCTGGATGGATATTAATGAGCATGACATACGCGCCTGATCAAAGCTTATATAGTTTATTCTGTTATTGGTAAAATCCAATACTCCTAGATGACCAATAATAGCTTTGCTATTAACTGATACGATGGTAATAATCGATATACACCTCACATTTTACCAAACAGAATGAACGATGCACTGTTAACTCTCTTACACTATTAATTAAAACTCACAGTGAACAGCATTAAATATAAAAACACATATGCCTTACCTTTTTGTTGCAGTGCAGTTTTTATTGCAGTGGTATAATGTTTTGCCGACAGCACTACAGTCCTCATTTTTTTATTGCTGCTTCCATTCTCCTGATTGCTATTATTTAATTTCTTCTTAAAAAAAATAGGCCTGTTCTTTTAATGTTTACTCAGTATCTGACAGCTGGCTAATCAAAAATACGCGCGATTAAGTGATGCAATAAACTGCGGCTGCGCACACTCACTCCACACAAGTTTTTTTATAATAATACTTTTGCAATAATGTGTTTCTCCTCTGACCGTTGTTCTGTCTAACATTTAATCCTGGCCTGTCCCTGCTCTCTCGGCAGCATAGCAGGCTCATAATTGTAAGGCTGTCATCCGTGGTCTGTCATACGAGTAAGTCCGAAATGTCATTGCGATCCATTGTTTTCCTGTTATTTGAATGGTTTGAATCAACCGCTCTCCCGCCCGTTACGTCACGCCCGTCACGCCCATTTTCAGATGCGGAAGTAAAATTATCTCACAAAAACGACTCTAGAAGCCAATGTAACGTATTTATAAGTATATTTTAAAGAAAATCTAATTACTACATTGTTTTTCTATACATTTACTCGTTGGGTCCTCTAACCTGCAATATGCCCTTTAACTTAGTAATAAACTACAGACGTTTGTTAAAGGGATACTTCACCTCTGGAAAGATGGATGTGTATTTAAAATGGGTCATTTATGTAGAAGAAATGTGAAATTATTTTTGAATTTAGAGCTTTCTAGACTGAGAAAAGCCAGAAAATGTATTTTTGGCGTATGTGGATGACAGACAACAACTCCCAGAATGCACTTGCTTCGCTGCCCTAGGAGGCAAAGCCTACCGGTAACAGAGCGCACTCAGCGCAGTAGTTAAACAACAAGTCTAGGCTACTAGTGAGTCTCCGGCCCTGTCCCAAATGGCACACTCCAGACTTCTGGAGTCCACACTTCGGTGACGTCATGTAGTGCAGACCTATAGGGCCCTTAGCGTGAGTCCGCGAGGGGGCATTGAGAGGTAAACAGGAAGACGGTCTGATTGTTGTTATGGACAGGAGCTACAGGTTCGGGGAAATATGCTGCCTATTGTTGTTGTGTTTACATATGACTCAGTAAAGCCCTGACATTCTGTTCTATTTATTTAATGAATGATAATGCGATCGTATTATTCAGCTCGCTATAATTAGTCTATGTTTGAGACCACTGGTCGATGATCATAATGTTCTGGGGGTGATATTTGATAATAATTTGACATTTGTTCCTCATGTTCAGAGCACTGTCAGGACATAATTTTTTCATCTCAAAAATATAGCCAGATTGCGTCCTATGTTGTCACTCCCAGTGGCTGAAAAGCTAATTAACATTTTTGTATTTTCTCGTATTGATTACTGTAATGCTCTGTTGGCTGGGGTTTCAAAAGCTACCCTTAACAAACTACAGTTGGTACAAAATTCTGCCGCTCGAATTCTATCTGGAAACAGGACAAGGGACCATATTACTCCGGTACTGGAATCTTTACACTGGCTCCCTGTCAGATTCCGTGTTGATTTTAAAATCTTAATGCTTACTTATAAGGCCTTGCATGGACTGACACCTCATTATCTAACTGAACTTTTAACACCCTACACACCAGCACGTGATCTCCGCAGCCGCTCTTTAGAAGCTGGCCTTTTAGTTGTTCCGCATACCCGACTAAAATCCATGGGTGATAGGGCCTTCTCGTCGAATGCACCAAAACTTTGGAATTCCCTGCCTATTGAGATTAGGCAAGCCAAATCTCTAAGTGTTTTTAAAACATCACTTAAAACTTATTTGTTTAGGGTAACTTTTACATAATTGTTTATAATTGTCTTTTATTATTATTATTATTAATCCTATATTTCATAATGTTTTTATTTTTTGTATTTTATTACGTTTTTCTGTCAGTAATGCATTGTTTGTTTAATTGTATGTTTTATGTTTTTATTCTTGTGAAGCGCTTTGAGATACTTTTTAAAGGCGCTATATAAAATAAAGTTTATTATTATTATTATAATGTTTGTATAAACTTGTCATAAAAACCGTAATGATAATTACACTTAAATATTTTCTTTTCAGCCATGTTAACAATTGTCCGTGAGCGAAATCTCCTCCCATCCGTTGTCTGATTGGCCTTTCGCAAGGATTCCTGGGTAGTTAAAGTGTGTGGAGCCTGCATCTATGCGGGCTTCGCGGAAGACCGCTTCAAGGGTACAAAGGGGGTGCTGCTGAACACACTTCAGAGCGTTAAAATGCTAAATGGGACGGCCTACGGACTCGTAGACTCGGCGAGCACGCGCAATTTAAGTCCACGAGACCGAAAGTCCGCATGAAGTGCGCCGTTTGGGACAGGGCCTCCGTGATGAGTCTGCCCGGGATTTCGAGATCGCCCAAAATGTCCGGGAGTTCGGCTCTTGCGTTCCTGCTCGCCATTCATCATGTTTACTGTGGCGAGCAGGGCAAGGCTAGGGCCGCGGGAGACCGGCGTGAGGCCGGTGGCGTGATTACTGATGAGCGACACCTGTGAGACGCACCGGTCTCGTATCTCTCACGGAGGAGCGGGAATTTTATTAGCAATGTTAAAACGCACATCAACCGATCACTTGTTTAGCGTTCATGTAAACACTACATTCAGATTCACCAATCGGAATTAATTCAGTTAGATTGAAACAAAAGGTGTGCTGCGTGTGCATGTAAACAATGAATGTCGACTGCAGAAAGCAAAAGCTGAATCCAGGACATTTTGTACGATCTCGACGGCCGGACATGTCCGGGAAAAAGAGGATGGTAACCCCTACTACTCAGCTTTCTCCTACTAAGTTACTCAGCTTTCTCCACAGAACAAGAGCCTGCTAGCTTAGCTTCCAAAAAAAGATGTATCACACTATGTGTACATTCTGTGAGTGAGATCCATAGACTGTAAGTGAGATCCCACCCTCTATGGGCGGGTTGAGAACATGCGGGACAGCCCCTACTACTGGCTGTAGTCTTTAGTCTCTGGCCAAAAAAAACCTCAGATGACGCAAAATTACGATTTTTGCGTCATCTGAGGATTTTTTCCAGACAAAAAATACATAAATCTCTCGTCTCAGGGGGATATGAGGGTGGAAAGCACGGTAATTGGAAAATACTACAGGTTTCCTACTAATACAAAGCTTAATGCTAAATCCTGAAGTATCCCTTTAAACGTCTGAAATTTAATCGAGAATTTTAAAGTGCCCCTATTATGCATTATTAAAGGTTCCTAATTTTGTTTTGGAGTCTCGTACAATAGGTTTACATGCATCCAAGGTAAAAAAAAAAAAAACAGTTGAATTTTCTTATAATATAGATTTCACATCACCTCATTTCACAAAGAGCCTGAAAAAGTTTTGTTCAAATATTGTCTCTCTAAACCCCTCCTTTCCACAAGCCTACTCTGCTCTGATTTTGCCAAATGGCACAGTCTGTTGTGATTGGTCAACCACATACAGTGCGTGTCGGAAACAAAACGTCCATTACCATATCTGAATTTCAGCTTTGGAGGCTTCTTCAGCACGATGGCGATGTTTTTTTTTTTCTGTATCAATTCCAGTGTGAGTGCACATCCTTTTAAAGTGCATGCAAAGTGGATTCGCAGCTCTCAAAACAATGTCTTTCTTGACATGTTGACAACACAAACCAAACTACACGAACCAGCAACAATTACAGTGTTTGAAGGCAGGTCAAATTAGAACTTGTTTGCGGGCAGCCAATATGCTTTATGCCGAGCATCACGTGACCAAACCGGAAAACGGGTCTCATTGCATCCGCTTGTCAAAGAACAAACTACGATATCTATGGATTTTTAAGGTAATCAGCTAACCTACTAAGTTCACTTTGTTATTGGTGTTTTATGCTATTTAAATATCTAAACGTTAGTGTGAAGAAGAAAAATTTAAAAACTTTTAAATATCAATCTGCACATGCGAGGGACATTGGTTATGCTCATTTTTGCTTGCTCCTTTTAAGTTATCTTGAGTAAAACCGCAAAAAATTTCATGAAGCACATACAAAAGACCTGAATCGGAAGCGATGTGATCTGTTTTCCGGCTTGGTCACGTGACGCTCGGCATAAAGCCTATGATCACCATAGGCTGGCGTTATGCAAATTTGTTACATACAGTAGGTATGTAACAGGAAGTGAGAATGGAATTGCTGATGACTCGTTTCAGCAGTTCAGGATCGGTTCTTTCTTTTAAGAGACAATTACTTTATTTGTCATACAATTTGATCTTTAATTTGATCTTTAAAACTTTGTAGACCTTACGTTCACAAACGGCTATATTCATACACACTGCATGAAAGGTAATATTTGAAAAGCATAATAGGGCACTTTAACTTAATTTATAAATCGTGTTATTCTGTCAAACACACATTTCATATGACAGGGTGATAAGAGTGCTGTGGTACTGAATGTCAGTACAATATATGTGTGTTGTGATCTGAACAGCATCCACTATCATTCAAAAATGTTGGGTCAGTATGATTTTTTTTTTAAGAAATTGAGTATTTTATTATATATATATTCATATATGCATAATATATATGCATTGATTCAATTGATCAAAAGTGACAGAAAAGACTTTTACCTAATTACAAAAGATTTCTTGTTTCCAGGATTTTTCAGTTAAAAAAATTATCACGGTTTTCACAAAAATATGAAGTGTATAATCAGCATTAGAATGGTTTCATCTCTCTGTTTTCTCTCTCTGCCTTTGTCTGTCACTCTCTGCACATACAGTAAGTGGGTCAGATTCTGTGCGGCTTGTGTGAAGGAAGTTTAAATGTACAAATTTGGCTCTGTTTACTTTTCCCTTTGAGAGAGGCTGTTAGGTCATTCCACTTTTTCCAATAGCAAGTCCAGTGTAACCTTCTGTGGTGTGTCTTTATTACAGCTTTTTCCCTGGAGGGCTCAGGGATCAGCTTTGCAGACCTCTTTCGACTGGTGGCGTTCTGCTGTATCAGCAGGTAAGATGATCCCATTCTGAAAACAAATGAAACTGCTACAAAAACTGCTTTTGTTTCCAAGATAATTCACTGGACTTTTTATATTTAAAAGATGGAGGACCGCGACCTTTATGTTTTGTTGGTGTATATATTATTCATTTATAAGAATTCTTGCTTCTTCCATAAGAAAGTCTAAAGAGGTTTATACTAAAACTACATGTAGTAATGATTACCCAAGCATACAGACTCAGCCTAACACAGCAATATTAACTCAACCGATGGCATGAGTTTAGGATGGGACTATCTGTTGGACTGGGCCAATGGAAAGGAGAGGTGTTGTTGTTTTTGTAATGCATGGAAATTATACCCTGCACCAAAATCTCCTGAAGTTCATAAATTAAAACAAATTAAAAAGTTTGTGGTAAAGTAAAACCAGATGATGCTTATTCAATTGCATTCCAATGCAACACAGATAATAACAGGAAGGAAGAGTCTAACTGGAAACATGGCCTCTTTTTGCTTGAAAGAACAGAGTGTAGTCAAAGTTTGTTTGTTTTAACCTGTTTACATACCACCCATATGAGCTCTGTAATGAAGAGGCTTGCTAGACTTAACAAATCCAAGCTAGGTCTGTGCCAATGCCACGCAGAAAAGTCAGTTGATAAACACAGACCTCTTTCTCCCTAACCTACTCATTCTTGCTTTCACTCTCGCCACGAGTGCAGACAACAACTCTCAGCACGTTTAGTTTTTAGTATTTGTCATCAGTCTTTTGAAGAATGTTTGTAATGATTCTCAACATTCATTTGTGCTCTTTAGGGACGTTCTGCCCTTCACCCTGAAGCTCCCTGAGGCCATCGCAGCTGCAAAGACCCTCACAGATCTGGAGGAAGTGGCTCAGTTCGGAAGAGGTGAATTTTCGTCTCTGTGCATGAATGTTTTATTGAGCCTAACTGCTGACTGTTGGGTTTCAGCGTTACTCAGACAGCATAACTGCTCCTCTAATGACCCTCAGCTTTTTTTTGTGTTTATTATATGTCTGTGTGTTTGGGTGTAATGCTGTGTGTACTTCAAACCTAATGCAGATGTTTGCATTCCATCTTCAATTCAGGTCAAAGTTTTAATACTGTACTCAGTGTAGCAACGTTTAATCGTTGGTGAGCACTCAGCAGTTTTACATGGTTCAAATAAAGCATTTAGCTAAGCATTTTAACTCTAAATAAAGACAAAATATACGGCATATATATAGAGAAGGGGTGCACATATTAAAATATGATTAACTTATTTTCATGTTATAGCCAATAACCAATTGATACCCATTATTAAAACTCTTTACTGTTATACTGTCTAAATAAACAAACATTAAAATCAGTAATTTTAAATTCTACAAGTGAATTTATGCATCACAACATAATAATGTGCATGAAAAATGAAGGTTAGTTTTGACATTTGTTAAAGATTACATTTATCAGTGTTATTAAATTATTAGTGTTTTTAAAGATAAACTTTAAGTGAGCGTTAGATGACATCAAAGGAAATCTAAATGTAAAAATGTAGGAAATTCACAATTAAAGATCCAATACGTATATGCTAATAACCATGGCGAGACCAACCATATGGTGTCCATATATTGTGCATCCCTAATATACGGTATTAGAGTGACCAACTATGGAAAAATAAAAAAGGCAGCCAATTCAACATAATGTTGTATGATCTTTCCATCTACTGGTATTTTTTTTAAAGTCTTAAAGCCTTAAACCTGCAGGCTGTATGAACATGCTAGATTCTGTAGTACAACAACATCTAGCATAGTGAAGAACAGAACGTCATTCGGACACATCCTGGAGTATTGACAATACAGGTGTTACTGTACCAGCAAACATTCGACACGTGGCATTTTACAAACAGCTCATGCGGACAACATATGCGGATGATAAGACTTTGGCTAGGTGAAATTGACCACAGATGTGTTTGATGCTAGTTAATGTCCCTGTCAAACAGAGATCTGCCTGTTTGCTTTGTTTCTGATTCATGTTGTAACTTTGTACTTTAATTGACGTATGTGATGTACATCATTCCTCTAGTAAGACGTATAAAAACTTTACAAAAAAAATTGTTGTGGTTTTGTTTGATTAGCAGAAATGATGATCATTATATGATTAAATTGTTTGATTTGGGTCAAAGGCATTTTTTGTTTTATCATAATCTGAATATGAAATCAGTAAATGACTTGTTTAGGTACATGTTTTCATTTAAGAGTTTAAGAGCAATAAGATCATATTTTAGTTTTGTGAAATGGCATACTTGAAATCGCAGAGGGGATCATATTTTCCTTAGGAAGACCAGGCAGTCTGAATTGGATAGGTGAGACAGCGACTCTTGGCAGGTAGGTTATGCCACCTTTAATAATACGGTTATGCAGTAATGAATGCTAAAATGGCCATGCAGAGTTAAGCTGAGAGCAGTGATGGGTGTGGGACCTCAAACTAAGATCATTTCCAAGAGAAACTCCACCAAGACAAAATTCCAACGGCTCATTAACTGCCGATTATGATCAGGAAACTGTGGGGGTGAGCTGAGGATAACAAGAGAAGCGTAGCAGACAGAGCAAAAGAGACAAAGGCAACAACGTAATGGTAGCATTTTAAGTTTGTTTACAGAGAGTGAGGCAAAGAAGAGACAGAAAAGATCAAATAAAAGAACAATTGTATACACAGGTGCAGGTTTCCAGTCATTCCACACCTGTACAGGTGGCACTTCTGCAGAACTGATCTGAGTGACGCAAACACGTCCCACACTTGTCTCAGATGTCATCAGTTAGGAGATGACTGATCAAGAAAAAAAATCGTATTTCCTGTCAATCCTATATTTCGGTTCTAGCTTTCGAGCAATTTACTATTATTATTATTATTGCTATTATTATTTAATAAAAATAATTTGAAATATTCTGGCCATACGACACCAATTTTGTTCTAAACTACATTGGCAAAGTTTTCAATTTATTTACGTTAAAAATATATTAAATGATGCAGCACCCAGTACATGCGAAACTTATCTCTAAATATGTTAATTTACCTCAATTTATTGGTAAATTAATCAGCACATTATTGTTAAGTACAACATTTTCCCCTTTTGTTTATTTATTTTTATATCTCATAGTTATAGTCGATACTTATAGTGTTTGATTACCTAAAACTGAAACTTGATCAAAGTACAAAGTGTCTGTTTACTGGATAACAAAACCAAAATAAAGAAAAGTCATTCTTGTACTGCATGCATCAAATGAAATCGTTTGAAGGGGCGGCCTTTAGTATGAACGAGTGAGTAATATGAGAGGAGGAACTGAGAGCTGGAGCCTCTGTGCTCCTCCCACCTTCTCATCAGCATGATCTCACCATTCACTGCGTGTGTATCAGCACTACTCTACCACTCACAACTCAGACAGCAGAGTCACTGCATGGACTGTAGACGTGTAAACTTTCCTGCTCACACTATTTACATACAGACTGAAGAGAAGACTTAATTATTAGATGTAGCGTGAGTTTAATTCTCCTTTTCTTGTCTCATTGTTTAAAGATTTTGTTGATTGTTCACTTCAATGTTTTTTTCATTAGTTTCTGTCATGGAATTTTGTGGTTTTGTGTTTGCGCCCACTCGATTGTGTCATTGTGTTCTGAATGCCAGTGCTTGGATTTGTAGGATAACCCTTTCAGAAGCATTATCTGAAGTGTCTGTTAATGTTCTTGAGCATTTTTGTTAGTCACTTGATATTGTAGCTCAATATTTCGAATTTTCTGAAATTTCTCTTTTATTTGTGTATTTCTAATATTCTTCTGTAATTACGTTAAAAAAATTGTATGATTCAGCTGTCCTCTTAGTTCTTCAAATTCAGAGAATGAGCTTTTCCTGAGAATGTCTTGTTTTTTCTTTTTCTTCTCTTTATCCAAATTTATTGCATTTTTTTACTCAAATGGAGCCTCATTGTGTTATCTTTCTGCAGGTTTCTGGGACTCTGAACTGTGCAATAAGAAGTCTTCTGAGTCTGGGGAGACTGTTTGTGACAGTCGAAATCTAAAACAGTTGGGCATTAATTTCTCCCCAAGAGTCCCGGGCATCCCATTCACTCGGACCCCTTCTGAACTTGAATACAGTCAATCCAACGGAGCGCTGTGCTTCATCAATCCCCTCTTCCTGCAGACACACCAAACTAACCCTTCACCCAAAAAGCAAGAAAAAGCCCCGGGTAATGCAAGTGGCTCTCAGCACCACCACAGTGCTCTGCATAGAATAGATCGCAACATCTTCTGCCGAACAAGCAGCACACAAAACAAACCACACGCTAGTGTGACTAGATCCAAGAGTGAGAGATCCCCACCACCTCGACCCCCACCTCCCTGCTTTGCCTCCGGAAAATCAGCAGTTCTCCGTAAACAGAAGACCATGCCTGAGACGGTCTGTTGGATCAAAACGCCTCAGGAAAAGAGCAGCCTGCTGGGGAGGTTGGGATCATCCTTTAGTTCCTTATCTCCCTCATCCTCCCCACCCAAAAAGTTCAGTAAGCCCACCCTAGTGCCCTCATCTCGCAGTAAGAATTCCTCCGGTCTGCTTGACGCAGACGGCCTCCGCTGCCACATGGCCCTTGATGACCAGACCATTGAGGAAGCCGTGTCTTGGAGCCTGGCCAAGCTTTCTTCATGCAACTCCACCACCCTAGAGAACTGCAGCCCCGCTGATGAGCGCTGCTCCACAGGACGAGAGCGTTTGAGCGACCTCAGCATCTCCACCTCGTCCTCAGATTCTCTCGACTTCACCCACAGCTTCTCGCTGCCTATGGAGGCTAGTCCCTCCAGAACTGAACGTCCCACTGGCGACAGCAGCCTGGAGGAGGAAGAAGAGGAAGAAGACGACGGCATCAACTTGGAGAGCGACCAGGAGGCGCCACCACCCTTCAAGTCAAAAAAGCGGAACGGTGCTGGTACATTCGTGCTGCCGCGTGCACTGAGAGGACATTTGCGCAAAATGAGCGGGGTTCTCAATTCTCTGATGACGCCTGAGAGGAGAGCCATTCGGAAGATCGTTGAGCAGTCCAGGGATAAAGGGACTTACTTTGGCTGCCTGGTGCAGGACTATGTGAGCTTTTTGCAGGAGAATGGCGGCAGCCACACATCGGGCTTGGACCTGCTGCAGACTCTCAGGCAGTTCATGACTCAGATGAAGTCCTACCTGTTGCAGAGCTCGGAGCTTGACCCACCTATTGAGTCCCTTATCCCCGAGGATCAAATTGGTAAGGCTTCCTTCCTTCAATACAAAAGGGAAGATTTTGCAAAAGTGTGCATTGACTCCACAAAGGGGGGTGCTATGTGGTCTCAAATTGACACTCTGCAGTCTCTTAGAAATTCACAACCATGCAGCAGCCATCGCAAGACCACAAATACACATCAGATGTGCCATTTGGGGCTGGGCCATTGAGCACTAAACACACTAAATTGAAATTCTGCAGTATTAAGGCATTTAATGATCTTGTCAATGTTAATCAACTTACTCTCAATGCAAAGGATTAGAGGAAATAATATTTGCTCTGACATCTGGTAAACTGTCTTTGTAGTAGAGGTTAATATATACAGTGATAATACAATTATTAAAGACAGATCTCGTCTTGCAAGAGCTGTGTACCATAGGCTTACCAACATATTCATGAATTTGATATTCATATAGGTTCCTTAAGTGAACTATTAGAAATAATCAGCTGTGCATCAGAATGTTGCTTGTTTTTAAGGGTCTATAGGATTGAAAAGGGACATTAAGAATGATCCAAGGCTTTTTTGTGGTTAACAAACATTGGATGAGAGTCTCACAGGCTGAGACAGTCTTGGCGGACTATTTATGATCTGAATCTTCTTGTAAAATGAGGCACCAGTCTCCATTGCCACAGATTTACAAGGAACCTGTGGTCCACCGCTCACCGTACAACAAATAGGACCTTTTAGCTAGAATTTTAAGTGTACAAATAAAATAGTATATTTTAAATTCCAGAGGAGCAGGTCATAATATTAAACCCGTAATAATTTCACTTTGCTGTGTGTGTGGAGAATTCTGTAGCTGGGAAGAGGGCACGTGTGTAGAATGTTTCTCATTATGTCCAGTGGTATGTTGAATACTGTCAGGTTACAGTTCTTTTACCCTCAAAGACCCATTGTAGCAAAATTACTCACAAATGTTTCACAACAAGAAATTTGGCAGGGAAATATTTACTGTTTGAATGTCATAGTATGGACAGTATGTAATATTACACAACATGATTACTGCGTATTGACATCATTGCACCATTGCAAACTGTTTTGGATAATATATATCTGCAACATTTAGAAGAAATGGAAAGTGTGATATATACAGTACAGAATAATTTATTGAAATATTTTAAAAACCTGTTTAAACGAGACATTGTTTTCAGATAAATATCATGTTTTTTATAACCAGTGCCTTTCTAAAAACATGTTTTTGGGTGTAAACAAACAGTACACCATCAGTATGGATGCTTGGGTCTCTGGGGGTTAAACCTGTGAGCGTGTGTGCATGAGGCAAAGCTCTCATGTCTGTTCATCTCGGCCTGGAGGCGTTTTACTCCACGTGAGCGGCACACACAAGGGACATTGAGCTGAGATGTACTCTGGCATACTCTTGTGTGGGCAGAGAACCATTAGTATAGCTTTTGTATAACTGGCCACACGCCTTTCACTGTCTGCGACAGGCAATAATATACTTTATACAATGACACACTAGCTGTAAAAGCCTACCAAATCTACAGTATGCTGAAGTAGTTTAGTTATCACAAATTTGGTTGAGGTTAATTTTGATCAATTCTAAAGTATTAATGATGATTTTCAGCCCAGCCGGGTTTTGTTTTCTTTCTTCAGGAAATTTGCGCCATCCATCGCCCTGAGCGTCCTCCTCCTCTTCTCTCTCTTATGGGTTGTAAACAAATTCTTGCTCTGCTATGTGTTTTGAGGAATAAATCACTTTCCAGATTTTCCCAGAATGGACCAAATAAGCCAGTGTCTCCGATATAGCTCTACTATGATCTGGCGTAACCCCTCCTGCTTGTTGATTCAGGCATCAAGTATGTGGGTGTTAGGCAAGAATGTAGAGAAAAGGGCTCTTGTTCAGAGCACCTAACCTGATGCTGCTGCCTTTGTGAACTGGCAGATTGTGTTTAAACAAGCACAATTAGGGCCATAGCTATGAGATCATGCTGCCATGGACAGCAATCCTTTTCTGCGACTTAACAAAGCAATTAGAACAAGCTTGAATGCACAGTTAATGACCTTTGACAGAAAATGTCACCCTTTTTTCCCCCGAAGTCTGTTTTTAAGTCCGTGTTTCAGCTCATAACTCACTTTTGAGTCATAACAGGGTTAAGACACTGTTTTACCGAGATGTGTCTGGAAAGACTTATTGTTTCTACTTCAGGCCCAAGGATTTTTTGTTGTTGTTGTGCCTTTGCTCTATTCTGAGTACTTCCTTAAAAACACGTCTTAGACTAGAGATTCAGTTTGGTGTTATCATTCATTTTCCTGAAAGACTTCGTTTATTTGGAGGGGTCAATAGACTATGAAGGGGAATTTTATTTGGTCTGTTTGTCTGGTATACCGGTAATTTGTGTGTGCCTTTTGTTCTGTGTTGTGACGTACTTTGCAGCCTTGTCTCCTAACTTTAGCGCTAGTGTGTGCTTGTTGTGTGGGAAGCATCAGTGGATTCACTTCTCCTGTCACTGCGGCTTCATTTTCCAGAGAGCAGTGCAGACATGGAGCGAGAGAGAGACAGAGAGAGTGCTATGTATGAGAGACAGTGAGGAGAATAGGAGATTGTCTGAGGGGATGTTTATAAGCCTTGGAAGATAGCCTTTCAAGTAGAGGTGGCCTTGACGAATGAGTGTTTCTGATCTGAGCTGCATTCCTGTAAACATTCCTGTTGCCATCTCTGCTGTGGTTTCCTGTTGACCTGAAGTGCAGTGACATCCTAGCCAAATATTAAGGGTCCAAATCACAAGAATTTGCTCAATAATAAAGGCAGTACACATAACATTATATAGTATGTAATATGTACCCCTCCCAGTCCCGTCCCTTTCACTGTGTCTGCGGTTGTTCCACAGAATAAAACTCTTAAGTGGAACTACAAACCAGTTCAGTTCCTCTAAATCTTTGGCCCTGTGCCACCCTCACGCCTTCATTAGCAGAGCTCTTTGCATTTCTCACAAAAGTGACAGGAGCGGGTCTTGTTTACCGAGCTGTCTGCTCTCTCCTGGGACAGATGACCATGTAAACACATTTGCAACAGCTGATTCTGTTTAAGCATTCAGACGTGTCAGAGTTTAAGTCAGACCTCTAAAATACCCTGATGTAAGGCACAATAATCTGGCTATTCATTAGTTGTGCTTCTGATACATCATTTCTTGTGAATGGAGTGACTGAGTGGGAGTATATGTAGCCTTGGCTGGTGAAAAAAAGGAAGCTTATATTTCCGCTTGGCGATTTGCTGGTGACACTTGTAGATAGCATTTGACCCCATTGTGTTCACTGACTACAAACAGCTTTGTTTTTACATTTTGAATTGATGTCATATGGACTGCATCTGAAAGAAAAGGTTTTAGTTTACTTTATTTCCAAAAACAGGTTTGACAAGTTGTTACGGTCACTAGCAGTTGAGTCACGCTGCTACACGTTGAAGACGTTTACTGACAAGGGAAGTGTAAACTGTCATGTTACAAGTTATGATGTGAAATCAACCAACCTTTCAAGGATAAAATGCACTGTTTTCCTAGAAAAGTCTACCTAAAAATCATTGTTATTTACAATATAAACTTATTCATATAGAATTAAATGATTTGTTTTACACAGACAATTTACATTTGTAATTGACCCAAAAAAAATAAAAAGGAAGCACACAAATGGTAATAGTTTGTTAAAAAAATTGTAATACATTTATAAAAAAAAAGAATGTAAAAAACGTATGCAGTGCCACAAAAGCATGCCTGTTGTCACCACTTATGACGGTGTTTCTTCCCTCAGTGGTCTGGAGTGCTGACTGAAGCAGCGCTGTCAGCCTTTTCCAAAGCCTGTTTAAACATTACATTCTGTTCTTTAGATCAGATGATTTTAGTTACACATACACTCCCCTACAGTTTATAGCTGATTTTACAATTTAGGTATGGTCTTCAAGCCCTGCTTGCACAATCAAAGTTACAGGACAAAACTTGTTGTGAGCAATACTGTAGACTGTTGAGCTGTCAGGAGACATTTTGTACTTGTTTTGGAACAAGAGTTTTGGAAAAGTAGGTGTAAAAATACTGCGAGCAGGTATTCCCCTAAAAAGGAGGAAATGGAACGATGAGCCACGTCGGATATCCCAGTCAATATACTCATGGTCACAGTTGTTTCAGCCACAAATAGGCTTGTGCACAAATAGACTTGTCCAAAAAACATTTTTGTTGAGATTTTATTTATGTTCCAATGTTTTTTTTCTGTTCCTTTGCCTGCTATAGTTATGATGGAGTGCACCAAAACAAATTCCAAAACATATGAGGTGTTATGGCCATATACTATATATATATATATATATATATATATATATATATATATATATATAATAATAATTTGAATAAGAATTAGTGCTTTTATTCAGCAAGGATGCATTGTTGATCAAATGTTACAGTGTACCGGTAGTAACTTTTACTTAGTTACAAAACCATTCTATTTTAAATAAATGCTTTTCTTTTAACCTTTCTATTCATCAATGAATCCTGAAAAAGATATTAAGCAGCACAACTGTTTTTAACATTGATTTCAATAAGAAATATTTTTTTGTCACCAAATCAGCATATTATTAGACACTGATTTGGTCACATAGACACTGAAGACTGGAGTAATGGCTGCTGAAAATTCAGGTTTACCATCACAGGAATAAATAAAATGTTTAAATATAATAAAATTGAAAACAGTCATTTTAAATTGTAATAATATTTCACAATATGTTTTACTGTAGTTTTGATCAAATAAATGCAGCCTTGGTGAGTATAAGAGACTCAATCATCAACAAACTTGATCAGAATTTCTGAGATTGAATTAACAGGTTTTCTTTTTACACAATTTTTTATTTTATTTTTTGCATTAACTGCATCTAGCTTAGTCCTATTACCCATTGTTATACAACTGTTCTTTGTAACTATTTCAATATAATTATCATATGTCTACTTCTTCCTCCATAGATCAGGTGATGGAGAAAGCCATGCACAAGTGTGTGCTGAAGCCCCTGAAGCCTGTGATAGAGGCGGCTCTGCAGGACTTCCAGGTGAGCAGCGGGACTTGGCAGCAGCTGAAGGAGAATCTGGTTTCGGCCAAAGCCAAGCAGCCCCAGGAGATGGGCGTGGATGGTGCTCTTCCCCCTGACCACGTGGCCATAGAGAAGATTCGCCACAAGTTCCACAACATGTGCAAGATGTACTCGCCAGAGAAAAAAGTGTCTCTGCTTCTCAGTGTGTGCAAGCTTATCTACACCATAATGGAGAGCAACTCAGGTACATTAGTGTGATGTAGTTGTGTGAATCCATTAATGTGGTTGTGCACAGAATGCTTATAATACTTCTGCATAGACTCATGGTTTCAATTTTTGTTGTAATAATGGCAGGGAGGATGTATGGGGCAGATGACTTCCTGCCCATGCTGACATATGTGATGGCCCAGTGTGACATGCCACAGCTGGATGCTGAAATACAGTACATGATGGAGTTACTGGACCCATCACTCCTTCATGGAGAAGGTACATTAGAACCCACTATGTGTGTGGGCTACAGCAGTAACTACTCAAGTTATCTCATAATTTAATGTTCCAATATTTCTTATCTGATTTTAGGAGGCTATTACCTGACCAGTGCATATGGGGCAATGTCTCTCATCAAGAACTTCCAGGAGGACCAGGCAGCTCGTGTGCTGAGCTCTGAGACCCGGAACACGCTGCACCAGTGGCACCGCAGACGCACAACCCAGCGTTCCACGCCATCTGTGGATGATTTCCAGGTAAATCCCTGGTAAAGTTCTAATCTATACTTCCTTAAAACAATATACATTTAAGAACATAAGTATATTATTTGCAATGATAATAATACCAATAAATAATAATTATTATAAAAATATTAAGTATTATTATTAATATAATTATTACTGCTAAAGAAATATTAGCTGTAATACTAATATATATATATATATATGTGTGTGTGTGTGTGTGTGCTGTGTATAATTATTTTGTATATATAAATACACACACATACATGTATATATTTAAGAACACTTTGTCTTAAATATATACATGCATGTGTGTGTGTATATATACAAAATAATTAGACACAGTACACACACATATGTAAACACAAACTTTTATTTTGGATGCGATTAATCACGATTAATCGTTGCACAGCCCTATTTCTTTCAATAATCAAGAAATTTTTTCGGAAAAACAAAATTTTGTGATTATTACGTGCAGAAAAGGCTATTTGCAGTAATAATGATAATAGCAATGAACTATGTGCAGTAATGATAATAATAATATTTTATATTATTATGATGACTTAATTATGTGCTTAATTATGTGAGTAATGTGCTTGATATATATTGGTATGTACCTCTAAATTTCTTCTTGTCTATATTCAGAACTACTTGCGGGTGGCACTGCAAGATGCAAGCAATGGCTGCACAGCCAAAACCCTTCAGGTTCATCCTTACGCCACAACGGAGGATGTGTGTCAGATATGCGCGGACAAGTTTAAAGTTTCGGACCCGGAGAACTACGCCCTTTTCCTCTTGACAGATGAAACCACACAGCAGCTGGCCCCGGACACTCATCCACAGAGGATCAAGGCCGAACTACATAGCCGCCCACAGCCACAACTGTTCTTCTTTGTGTACCGCCAGATCCAAGACCTCACTGTCCCTTCAGACCAGCTCGATGAAAACACTTTGTCCAACTGAGAGAGCAAACCTGAATTCAATCTGGTCCTGTCGAAACTCCTTCTCAGCCCCATTTATTCATCTCCTTCCTTAGGAGCACTGCTAACGTCTCCACTGTTTTGAAAAAAGCTGGAGGGAAGCGGAAAATGTGCTTAGGGGGAAATAGGGAAGGAAGGATGTGTCTGACAGATGCAGCATTTTTTATGCTCTGTCTTCACTATTTTCAAAACATTTTGGGAAGTTGCACGCGGCCATCACGAGAGAATAGCTGTATCCAAACTGCAAATGTTACATTATGCCTGTTTATTTCTTCATGAATGCCCAAACATACACATTGTAAGCTTTACACATTCCACATTGAATGCACTCCAGGACTGTGCCAGGATTGTACATACTATAGCTCTCCTGTCTCCTATTTTTCGCTATGCTGAGAGACTGTAGAATTTTTCGTGTCCCTGTCCCTCCCTGCAGAATGAGAGAGCTGTTCAGTGCATTGAGGTGAAGACTTTCAGGAAGTTCCTTCCTTCAGCATTAGTAACATGGACTTCTCAGTCCCTAAGGCCACTGTGGACACTTGTTTTCTAATGTAAAATTGATTCATGATATTTTTTTGCAGTTGCTGGTAAACTGCATTCTTTTTATATATATGATTTATTGTTATAGTTTTGCATGTATCTCTGTGATAAGACCAATTAAAGAACCAGGCATTGTTGCCAGTGATGTTTGATCATATTGCTTTTGTATGAATTATGATTATTATGTTTTGTTAAAGTCATCGGTAGTAATGGAGATGGTAGAAATGGTGAGGTTTAGTTCTAAAATACTGTACTACTACTGACAAGCTAAACATTTAGGGCTTGTGGTAATCTCGATCTCTGTTGTACTGATATTGGTTCTGATTTACAGGTTTTTAAGAACAGACACAAAGGGCTTTTGGCAAGTAGAACAAATGGAAAGATCTATGTAAAGTAAGAAATAATAAGGGAAAAAATGACATGGACTTTTAAAGCAGGTTAAGAGACATTGGTAGAAATGATCAGCAAAGAGAAATAATTTATGTGTCACTGTAAAGTGTATCAGGGAATACCGGGAACGATGAGTCACATAGAGGAGAATAGTTCTTTAACATTTATAACTATATTCATAACCTCTTAACTGCAATAACTTACCAAGTATGTTCTATTAATGTACTTTACATTTGCATGTTTTGATGTAAACTCGGGGCATTGGTTTTTTTTAAGAGACAGGGTGCTGAAATGCTCTAATCCCATGTAACGATGATATAGAAACACTAGTCACATCTGAAACACAAACTACATGTTTCAAGTCTTGAAATGTATTTTAACAAGATATTTGAAGTCTGATAAGTGTATACATATTTATATTCAATCTGTGCAGGAATTTTTCACAGATTTGAAATTCAAAAATATTGTGTATTCATTTGGAGAAAATCTCATCATTCTTTAGTCAGTTCTTCATATTTGCCTTTTTTTAAATGTACTCTTTTGCACAAAATAAATTGATGTTGAACATGTATCGTCTCTGTCATCTCTGACAAGCTCCCACACGTCTTTGCCTATTCTACGTTAGAGGGTGGTTGTGTACCCTGCCAGTTCCTTTCTGGGAATAGGTAAATACTTTCCACTTCATCACCATGAGGGCTTGTACTAACCGCATTTATGCTTCCAAGTAAATTGAAATCATTAAAAGGCCCATCTGATTGTTTTCTCACTAAGTGAAGATCATTCAGGGTGCGTGTGTGAGAGAGAACGATTATGTCAGTGTTACTAGTTGTATATATAGTGCTTTCCATATTTCAAAGCAACTTTACAGAAAATAAATTGCTGAAATAACATTTTGTAATCATTTTAGACACTGCATGTATTATTGGCTGATTGACAGAAAATGTAAAATTTCACATTGAAAAATGTATTTAAAACAAGAGCAACTATCCCTTTTAATATATAATCATTCACTGTAATGTGATGATCTTAAAGAGAACTGAACCCTGCTGATTTAGACTAGATTTTGAATTTCCTTAAAGGGATAGTTTACCCAAAAATGACAATTCTGCCATCATTTACTTTCTTCTGTTGAACACGTTTTGAAGATTTTTGGAAACCAGGCAGTTGATGGTAGTCATTGACTTCCATAGTATTTTTCCTACTATGGAAGTCAATAGTCTGGTTTACCACCATTCTTCAAAGTACCTTCTTTTGTGTTCAACAGAAGAAAGAAACTTGTACAGGTTTGGAACCACTTGAGTGTGAGTAAATTATGAGAGCATTTTCATTTTTGGGTGAACTATCCCTTTAAAGCATGGACTGCTGTAATACTTTAGCTCCTCTTAGTGGATAATTATTTCAATAATATATAAAGAATACCAACTAGAATAAGCAGGAACTCTTTTTGTTAATGGATCTTTGAAAAAACAGTCTGTCATTGACTGAACAGTCACATTAAGAAAATATTTAGAGAGCAATATTTCTTATTAAAAAAAACTTCGTCTAGACTCTAGAGAGAAAAAAATAGTATTATATTAATTTTAATTATTTAATTATTTAAAGTGTAATTCTTACACTTTGTTTTACATTCTGGCCTTTAGAAAACATTTATAGAAATTATATTAGTAAAATGTTCTTTTCTTTTCTGTTGTTATACGATCAGTAGGGTGACTACGGGACTTTTATTTTGGTATGTGTTTTCGCTGACGGTGAGACACGGATGGTTCCGCAGTCGTTGTTGTTTTGCTTCTGGTCACTCATCAGGCGGACAGCAGCCGCTGAAGATGATGGAGCATTCAGCATCAGACTCCGAAACTGAAGATCATGTTCAGCCTTTACTTCGCAGGAAAGACACCGGAGACATTCAGAAAGGTAGAAAGATAATTATGCATGCCTTTTATGTATTTTATGCAGGTTTAAAACATGTGTAACGTTACCATAGTACCATAAGTTCTATAATAGGACTTTCAAACTAATATTATATGTAAATGCAGTTATCGTTGTGCTTAATTGACAATGGCTCATTGTTAACTTGTAATTTGCTAGAACCCCATATTAAGAAATTCCTTATTTATGTTTAGTATCCATTTATGTTATAACATGTCAGAATTCATTCATCCCAAAAGTGCAGACTTCATTTCTTTAGTTCAATGTGATTGTCGCAGCACTGAACGCAGTCTGCATAAATAATGCAAGAGTTTATCAGATGTGCTTTCAAAACAGCCAGTCACGTGAAGGAGGAGGAAGTGTGTTAGTCATGCAGGTAACTGCCCAAAAAATGTACCGTGATTATGGCAAGCCGGTTTAACATTTAATACTTAAAAACTTAATCTATTTTCAAGCTACTAGTACTAATGTTTTTAGATACTATTCCACTAATAATTTTTTAATTTGTTAGTTATTAGTTATTAGTGATTATTGTTTAGGTACTTGTACCTTTTTAAAGATACTTGTACTTATTTATTTCGATATTACTTATTACAAAATTGTCTAGTAGGCTATTTATACTTTACCTGTTAAGAAAAATTACATCGTTATTTTTTTTAAAAATTACTAGTAGTTTTTTAGACCAAAGATATCTTGATCTTAATAGGCTTTATGCACAGCTTCACTACTTCCTGAACGTCAGCCAGCCCTTTGTTTCCTGTCTGTCATTATTGGACAAACTGATTAATCCAGGTGTGCCTGATTATTGTTACTGAGGCCAGGCACACCTGGATTAATCAGTTTGTCCAATAATGACAGACAGGAAACAAAGGGCTGGCTGACGTTCAGGAAGTAGTGAAGCTGTGGCATAAAGCCAATTAGTACATGTTCATTTCTGCATAGTATGCTAATAATACATTGAACATTAATGAACCAACAACATATAAGAGGGAGATTAGAAATTGAGATGGCACTAGAGGTGATATAAAATGAGATTGTGTGTGTGTGTGTGTGTGTGTGTGTGTGTGTTTCTATGGGGACTTCAACCTGAATGCACACAGACTCATGGGGACCTAAATGGAGGACCCCATGAGGAAACAAGCTTATAAATCATACAGAATTAGTTTTTTTATGTAAAAATGCAGACATTTTTCTGTGATGCTAGATTTAGGGGTAGGGTTAGTGTAAGGGGCTAGAATTTGTACAGTATAAAAAAACATTACGTCTATGGAGAGTCCCCACAAAGATAGCAAAGCAGTTCTCATGTTTCTTTGATGTTATTTTTAATTTTATCTTGTGAATGTACAAGTAGTTACTCCAATAATAAGACCATCTCTGGTTTTGCTTCTTTCTGATAGAAAGAACAATTAGTACATTGAAAAGACATAATTCTTAGCGTGTTGTATTTTATTAACATCATAAGGGCAACATAAACCTTTTTTATTAACAAATGGCCATACTCATAAACAAAAATTCACAAACTGTAGCAATTTTTAGTCTTTAAATTGCTGAAAAATATTTTGAGCAGACCTATTTCACAGAGAGAGAATGACTCTTATTTTGACATGCCTCACATTCTCAGATGCAGATGCATATTTATTTATTTATTTATTTTTATTTTAAGGAATTATAAGTACTGTCCAAAAAGGATCAATCTCCTGTGGTGGATGTTGTGGGTATTGTAGCTGGTCTTGTATGTATGTATATTAATATTATCTTTTTTAATGCATGCTTCTTTATTGTGTTTGTGTTTAACAATGAAAATGTTTGCTATTTGGAGAGGATTAATAAAGGTTTAAAAACTCTGAATAATTCAGTCAGTTCATTCAGTGAACGATTCACCAGACTGATTCAAACCTGTTAGCCTACTCATAACTTCGTACTTCTTTTTGAATGATTCATTTAAAGAACTGGATCATAAAAGTCTTTTGCTCGTGAATTGGAGAACAGTGGCCGAGCTGTATGTTTTGGGTGCTGTACATAGTGTGGTTTTTTTAGCTCACCACATTCAATTGACAATTCACGTTCACAACTAGGGTACAAAAAGCCATACAGGCTTTGGGAGATTCTTTTAACCACTATTTGACAATGGTTCCTGTTTGTTCTTCCAGCTCCTGCTTGCTGCTCCTCACGTTACGGGTTGGCCTTTTTGTCGTGTTATGGCTTCTTTGTGGCATATGCCCTCAGGGTGAACCTTAGTGTGGCAATGGTGGACATGCTGAAAAACCGTACCAGTGCCAACAGCAGTTCCTCCGTCTGTCCTCATCACAGCAGCCCTGTTCCCAAACACAATCACACCGTAAGGGCCTCTTCTTTATGTTGTCACATATTACACATGCAAACTGTCATTGGAAAAAACATACCGGTAACTATACTAATTTTAAGTTAATTATATTAAAAAATATATACACTGTTTCATGTGTATTTCAAATAAATATTTTAAAGGAGTATAAGCATTTCTGTATTATGAACAATTACAGAAATAATTTTTAATTATTTAAAATTTAAATAAATAAATATGTAATTTTTTTTACAATGTCACTTATTTACCTAAAAATACTAAACTCACATTTTAAATGGCATGAAAAGAAAGGGACATCATTTGAGATTTCTGGAATTGTTTAAAAAATGTTATGTGCGACAATACACATTGTAAATAATTTAAGCCTATTCATGTGATTTTAGAAGTGTTTATCATATTCAGTTCAATATCTCAACAGGCCAGTGTGTATGACTGGGATTCAGAGACTCAGGGCTGGATCCTGGGCTCTTTTTTCTATGGATATATACTTACTCAGATACCAGGTGGCTACTTGGCACGCAAGTACGGTGCCAAGTGGCTCTTGGGTATTGGCATCCTTTGCACTGTGATCTTCACCCTGCTAACTCCAGTAGCTGCTGATCTAGGAGCTGGTTACCTCATCGCTGTCAGGGTGTTGGAAGGTATTGGGGAGGTAACCTCAAAACTCATTACCTAAAATATGCTTTATAATATGTTATAGAGTATATGCCTTAAAATATATATCATAATATTATGATACATAAAGGTGTTATTAATTTAGTAAAATAAAAGTTCTTCTTGGGCTTCTAGGGAGTGTCATATCCTGCTATGCATGCAATGTGGGCGTCATGGGCACCACCTCTGGAGAGAAGTCGACTGCTCACTATCTCTTACACAGGTGCCCTAGAACGCATATGGTTTCATGTGTAACAATCTCCTTAAGATTTGTGAATTTGTACTATTCTTTCATTCTTTCCTTTTAAAGGTGCTCAACTGGGAACTGTAGTGGCTCTCCCTCTTTCTGGTCAGATATGTTTTTATCTAGACTGGACATACGTCTTTTATATATTTGGTAAGTTTTTATTATACTCATTTAAAAGTGAACTGTGTGCACAAGCAGCATGAAATGTATTACTAAAGATGCGATCACAAGTTTGTCTCTGAGTATATTCTTAATGTACACTTCATCTAATTAGTATTTCTCTTTGAATCATAGGAATTGTTGGACTTCTTTGGTTTGTCCTTTGGGCTTGTTTAGTCAGTAACACTCCCAGCTCACACAAAAGGATAACAGAGGCTGAGAAGGCATACATATTGGCATCTTTAAAAAATGAAGTAGGCAGTGATATCCTACAGTGCTTTATGTTGGCATCTTTATTGTAAAACCAGTTAATGTTTGACTCATTAATTGACTGTATGCATTATAATGTTTCATTTGCTGCTGCAGCTGTCCCCAACCACAGATTACATCCCATGGACAGCAATCCTCAAGTCTTTGCCATTATGGGCCATAGTTGTGGCACACTTCTCCTACAACTGGACATTTTACACTCTGCTGACTCTCTTACCCACCTACATGAATGATGTTCTTGGATTCAGCATCCAGCAGGTGAGTGCAAAGCAGGCTGATTATCAGAACAATTTGAATTTTACCAAATGTATTTTAATGTTTGAATGATTTGTATGTTGAAGATGCATCATACATCTGTGATTTTTATTTATTTATTTTTTACTCAAATGAAATTGAGTTTGAACTCAAATTTACCTAAATGAAAATCTTTTGTATGTTGGGGTTGGTAACATTTTTATATATATATATTTAAAAGCAGTCTTTTATGCTCACACAGGCTGCATTTATTTGATTCAAAATACACTTAACTTCAAAAGAAGTTTGAACTTAAAAAGTTCAAAAGAACTGCATTTATTTGAAATAGATATATTTTGCAACATTATAAATGTCTTCACTGTAACTTTTGAGCAATTTAATGCATTTTTTGCTGAAAAAAGTATTTTAAAAAGTAAAAAAAAAAAAAAACCACACACTGACCCAAAACTTTTAACTGGTAGTGTATTTCATGTAAAATGCGTCATCTGAGAGTAAACGTTGACTTTTATCAAAAGGCCCATTTGCTGTGTAGTAAGTGTGAACTCATTGTGTTATTCTCAGAATGGAATGCTCTCAGCTCTGCCCTACCTTGGTTGTTGGTTGCTGGCTTTGCTGGGTGGACAGCTGGCAGACTTCTTGAGAGAGAAATGTTTTATGCGCACTGTAATAGTGCGCAAGGCTTTCACTATAGTAGGTAAGGTATTCATAGACCCTTTACACTTTTTGTTATGCTGAACTGCACATTTGCAGAAATGTTGATGGGATGATTGGACTGGTGCTGTGAGGTTTGTCAATGCTTTAAATAAATCAGTGTGTCTGTTTTTAATGTGTCCAGGAATGGTGGGACCAGCCGTCTTCCTGGTGGCTGCTGGCTACACTGGCTGTAACTACACCTTGGCCATTGCCTTCCTCACCATCTCTTCTGCTCTAGGGGGCATTTCAGCGTCTGGATTTAACATCAACCATTTGGATATTGCTCCCTCGTAAGACAAGGCTTTTTGTTTGCAGCTTTTTATGGTTTAGGAGAACTGTACATGCATGAAATCCATATCGTATGTTAACTATAGTTTCAACAGTGTATAAAGTGCCCCTGCCTTTTCTGATATTGTTTTATCAAAGGTTGTTTTCTTCTTCACAGCTATGCTGGGATATTGCTTGGGATCACAAACACATTTGCCACTATACCTGGAATGGTGGGCCCAGTAATAGCAAGATCTCTGACCAAATCTGTAAGTTACAGTTTCTTGCAAAAACTTTTTTTTTTTTTGTAAAGACTGCATTAAGTTGTGAAATGTGCTGCATAAACTAGGAAAGGTGCTGTACATTTTTAAATACTATGTGTGTTGCTGATGTAAGGGTGATCCCATGTTCATTATGTGAGAATTCTTAACATAATTCATAACATTCATAACATAAAATGCTTCATTTCAAGAGAAAACCATTTTTCATGTACTTTACATCATTGTTAAGCTTTTATTTAACGATTATTTTGACTGTTTTTTGACAATGGAGTAACAAATGCCTACATATTTTGTTTTAATCTAGAACACCATTCCAGAGTGGCAAATTGTCTTCTACATCTCTGCAGCAATCAATATATTTGGAGCAGTTTTCTTCACAATATTTGGCAAGGGCACAGTCCAGCCTTGGGCTGTTCAGAGAATAAACATTCAATAAAGCATATCTACCATTAGCCATTTCCAAAAGGCCAAAGGGATGTACCTATTGTAAATTCCATAGAAATCCTGTAGGTAATTGCATATGGTTTGCAAACTAATGAATATTGCACAATCCAATGTTGTTGTTTTTTTTAAAACATACCAACAAATTCTGATAATTTTATTGGTAATAGGTATATCTGTATTTGTTATACACGCCAGTAGTATTTTCTTTTTTCTTCAAATGAAGGTGTGATAAATAAAAAGAGTGAAGGGAGGATACGTGTATCTTTCATGGTACATCCAGTCATGATAAGGAGATAGTAGGCCAATATAAAGGTTTAATCACACTACCAGTAGTCTGATTCCTGAAAAAATCACTCATGAGTTGAGTCTGTTAAGTGAATGAAACCCCTGTATGAATCTGTCAGAGAGGGTAATGAAATAATCTGACTCACTTACAGAACGCAAGTTACTACTTTCATCATGTCCAACTCATGAATTGGTTTGAACTACTTAAGGCTTGTGAGACCCAATGTAGTTTTTACCACACTTGTAAGAACTAAATTAATTTATATCTGTTTTGTTGAAAACTGAAATAATTGTTTGGAAACAGACCGCTGAATGCAGTAAGTCAAATGCAATAAGAATTGCATTTTCCCTCAAATACATTAAACTAATTGGGATCTGCTCAAGTTTGATAATAGGAATATTTTACTTAATATTGTACAACGATCATCCCTATGAAATATGCCATAATTTAGGCCTATGATTAGCACAACATGCCTTAACCTTGCTCAAGCAACAGGACAACAAGGGACATTTTCGTTTAATTCATGTTTTGCCTTTTGTACAGTATAACTAAATTATGTATATATATTTTTTATTTCTTCTGTTTTGTGCAATCGTTAAAAAATGACGATGTATAATGTCAATTGTCAAGATGCTGCAATACATGCATCATCGCCTGTCAAATAAGTGTACATTTAATAAAATTATTGCACTCGGTTATTTTGTTGATTATGTATTCATTGTTAGGAAGTTCTTTTCGGCCGAATAATTAACTGCGTCGTCGTCCGCAGTTTAGCACCTGACACCTTAAAAGCCAATGCGTCTGCAGAACAAACTCTTAACCTTTTTCCTTTCCCGTCCGTCAATTCTGAATGATTGTTTCTTTACAACAGCAGTCTGACCTCAAGCATCCTCTGTGACTGATGTAGACAGCAGTATTGCGCTTGTCTGCGCATGCACAGTCGCTTGCGTCGGGTCTGTATGATAATAACAAGATCAGACGCTCAGCCTCTTCAGCACCGTTCCAGTGTCCCGAACTCACGCGCAGGTACAGTACCGCACATTCACGCGCATCTTTAACTGAGAATAAAAAAAAAAAAAAATCAAACGTGTCCGTAAATATATAATATTATATCGTCTTGCTATTTATGTCTTAAAGATAATTGCCTTTTGTAATAGATCTTACTGATGCTTCGACATTGCGCTAGATACAGGCTGGTAATGGGAGAACATGGCGGCAGCTGCAGAGGAAGGGATTGCACTATTAAATCCCCTAGACATCTTGATCTCTTCGTTGACTACTACACTTGAAATGTCTCTGTGCAAATTAACACCAAAAGGAACAGCTTTCTGAAGTCATGTTGGGGGTGATTCGATTGTCACGCATAACAGGAATAATTTCAAGTCCTTTTAAAAGAATGCGTCTCTGTTAGGTAACCTCAACAAGAATAGCCCTTCTGTTAACCTCTCAAGTTAAGCTGAGAATTAGCTTCCTTACACTAATGGCAGTCTAGCTTTTGCCTTTAAGGAACCTTTTGGAAGTATGTCCCTGACAAATTACTTAATATCAGCTCGTCTGAAATTATGCTGATGCAATAATCTTGCATGCTGAGTTCATGATGCAGCTTAATCTCAATGCACTACCTTAGAATTGAATATTAATTTTAGCTTAAAGCTGCTCCAATATTTTTTTCTTTTAACAATATCGGCTACATGAGTGGCTCACAAATGGCTGCCAGTCTTTTAAATCGGTAGGCGAATCTTTACAAAATGGAGGTCTGCAGGACAAATATGTACCAGGCATGAAGAAATGCATGCCCAGTCTTTTAAAGCAGTTGCTAGTTACTTGGCTGAGCTAGAAACCTAAATAGCCCGAAACGATAAACTTACTGCTGTTCTAAAGGTTGAAAAAGGCTGGAGATGTAGTGAATACCGTATTTGTTAATCAAATTTCTTTGTCTGCGTTTCTTTCAGTGTCCATTGAGTGAAATTCAAATAAGACATTTAAATTATGGTATTTGGATAGGTAATTCTAAGATAATTACATAGATTACCGCAGCCAAAAAATTTATTTTAGGTATTGTTCACCCAGATGTCTCGTGTGGTTTACTTTAGCTGAACACCAGAGGGGAATTTTTGAAGAATGTGCAGGTTTGTCTTTTCCTTGAGGATTTAGCATTGAGCCTTTTCAAGGCTCTACATCTTCAGTCCCCTTTTTTGTCATTCAGTGGAAAAGAATGACCAGGACATTCTTCAAATTTCTCCTTTTATATTCCATAGATGGAAGTCATACAAGTTTGGGACAACATTGGATGAATAATTGATATCATTTTCATTTTGGACTACACTGTATTGTCAGATGTACTGAAGAACAGTGCTTGTATTTGAACGGGCACTTCTTTAGTCCTTGGAATGAGTGGGTTTTAAATTGAATAAAAAGCATCCTCTAGCAAGAGATCATGCGTTTATCTTACTTAATGTCCATTATAGAATTTGCACAATAACTGTTTCTTGGTGTCTGTGTAAAGCTTTACAGATACATTGGCACTTTAAATAAAGCAATCAGCCATGGGAAAGGAGAAGCTCCACATCAATATTGTGGTTATTGGCCATGTGGACTCTGGAAAGTCCACTACAACTGGCCACCTTATCTACAAGTGTGGTGGGATTGACAAGCGAACGATTGAGAAGTTTGAGAAAGAGGCTGCAGAGGTAAGATGGAGATATTGGAGACATTTGAACTAATATATGATTAAATCAATTTCAGCTGATAATGGTATGTTTATGCCCATCACTCCTAGATGGGAAAGGGCTCTTTTAAGTATGCCTGGGTGCTGGACAAGCTTAAAGCAGAAAGAGAGAGAGGAATCACCATTGACATCTCCCTGTGGAAGTTTGAGACCAGCAAATACTACGTCACCATCATTGATGCTCCAGGACACAGGGACTTCATCAAAAACATGATCACTGGAACCTCACAGGTTAGGAGCTTAACAGGCACACAAATATATATTTAGTAGCTGCTATTTATTTATGTTTAAGAAATAATACCCAACGTGTTTTCTGACCCTCAGGCAGACTGTGCCGTGCTGATCGTGGCGGCAGGTGTCGGGGAGTTTGAGGCTGGCATCTCGAAGAACGGTCAGACCAGAGAGCACGCTCTTCTGGCCTACACATTGGGTGTGAAGCAGCTGATTGTGGGTGTCAACAAGATGGATTCCACTGAACCCAGTTACAGCCAGAAGCGTTATGAGGAAATTGTGAAAGAAGTTAGCACCTACATCAAGAAGATTGGCTATAATCCTGACACAGTGGCATTCGTGCCCATCTCTGGCTGGAATGGAGATAACATGCTTGAGGCCAGTCCCAATGTAAGTATGACAGTGGAAATAAAGCATTGTTTCCACTAAGGTTGCATAATTAATCGGTATAAAAACAAAAGTGCATTTTCCATTTCTTGGAACGGCTCGGTTTGCGGTAAATGCTGCACCACACAAATTTATCTCTGTATCGGTTTTGAGATTGGGTCGCTTATACCGGGCATTTTGGAACACAACATATGCCAACCTTTTTCCAAAACATGTAATGAGAAGTGTTTATAGACCATCTGTTGCCAAAAGAGACGCTTTAAGGGCTGCCCGTGGTTTTTCCACCAATATAAAAGCTTGATTGGTTTAAACATTTGAAAATGAAGAAATTAAGACAGCCATAAATTAAATAAATAATTGAGATACTACAATAGTGATTCTAATTTTAATATTTTTATTTAGTAATACTAATAATAAAAAATATTTATTTTTACATATAGTATTAATATAATAATAACAATTATTATTATTATAGCCATATCAATGGCCAAATTATGCAGCATTACAAACAAGCACAGCAAACCTGGAGCTTAAAAATCACATTTTAATATCGTAAAATGTGATTTTAATCACATTTTAATCACAATTTTTATCAGAAAAATCGCACTTCGTTTTTTCCACCCCCCAAATTGTCTGTAAATCAGTTTGGAGCATTAAGACTTTCTTCAGTGAATATGAACACTTTATATTTGTGCAAAATGGCATCCCAACTGGTTGGTTTCCATCAGTGTCTTCATTTGGTTTCTATGACTTTGCTTTAGATGACTTGGTTCAAAGGTTGGAAAATTACCCGGAAAGAGGGAAATGCATCTGGGACCACCCTATTGGAGGCTCTGGATGCCATTCAGCCTCCATCACGTCCAACTGACAAACCCCTCCGCCTGCCTCTTCAGGACGTCTACAAGATTGGAGGTTTGCATTCCTGCAAGTTATATTGCAGATAGGCTACAAATACAGTAAATTAAATAGATACCTGTTATCATCTTTTAATCTTAAAACATAAAGGCGATAAGGCTAACACAAAGCAGAGCTGAATGATAAGCAATGTTTTCACTAGGTATTGGAACCGTCCCTGTGGGCCGTGTGGAGACTGGCGTTTTGAAGCCAGGTATGGTGGTGACCTTTGCCCCTGTGAACGTGACAACTGAAGTCAAGTCTGTGGAGATGCATCACGAGGCTCTTTTGGAGGCCTATCCCGGGGACAACGTTGGCTTTAACGTTAAGAACGTCTCTGTCAAGGACATCCGTCGTGGCAATGTTGCTGGAGACAGCAAAAACGACCCACCCCAGGAGGCCGCCAGCTTCACGGCTCAAGTAAGCTTGATTAACTTCTGTTTTCATTACTCACTTCAGCAAGCCTGTGTAATCATTACAAGCTTCATTGTTTCCCCATCAGGTGATCATCTTGAATCACCCAGGGCAGATCAGTGCTGGCTACGCCCCTGTGCTGGATTGCCACACTGCGCACATCGCCTGTAAGTTCGCAGAGCTGAAGGAGAAGATCGATCGTCGTTCTGGGAAGAAGCTTGAGGACAACCCCAAGAGCCTCAAGTCAGGAGACGCAGCCATTGTTGACATGATCCCTGGGAAGCCCATGTGTGTGGAGAGCTTTT